GAGAATCTTCAAGCCGACTCCTCACTGAGCAGGGAGCCAGCCCCAGGGCTCCATCCCAGGACTCTGAGATCATGACCTGAGCCAAAATCAAGAGTTGGCCACTCAGATGCCCCCCCCCCCCACTTTTTTTCTTTTTTACTTTTAATGGTTTTCTAAGTGAAGAAGAAACTAGTCAAGTGGCTAGCTTCATTAAAGCACCAACTCTGTGCTGGAGAAGATCATGATAAAAAGTCTCATGAAGCTGTTTGTTTTTGTGGAATACAAATTTTGTTTACATTTTCTCTGACAGCGAAGAAAGAAAATGGTATCTGTAATAAAGTAACCATGTTGTAAGATTTTGAGGTTTAGTTGTTACCTTGAGGTGGCCTGTACATTTCTGTTGGTGCTTCCTTAAATGGGATTTTTAATAAACTTATTTTGAGATTCTAAGCTTTGCTCCTTTGATACTTTTTGAAGTGCTGATGGATAGGTTTTTCTATCAGCACGTGGAAGCTTTGAGATTATTTGTATTCTCCTGAGGTTTTTTTTAGTTTCTTTGTATATAATAGAAATTGTAGTTGCCCATCAGAGAAGGATTTCGCTTTCCTTTTATCTGATTGAGCAAGTGTCTTGAGAAAAAGGAAATGATAGCGGTGAATTCAAGTGTTACGCTCTGTCAGTCTCAGAAAATCTTTAGCAGGTGGCCGGAGAGAGAAAACAGCAAACTCTACTTCTGTTCCTCCTCCCTTTGCAATCCAGGTCACAAGATCCTCACTTCCCAACAGCTATCTTTTTTGTTCTCAGGGCAAGAATGCTAAGAATGTTATAAAATCAATGAGTGTCCTTTGCCATGCTGCCTGGACAGATGGCCTTCTGGCCTCCTCCATGCAGTCATCAGTTGTTTTCAGCTGTTACTGGACCAGAATCAAATGGGCTTTGCCTCTGCCTTTCTTTGTACGAACAATGTTTGTTTGTTCACCAGGCCTGACTGAAGACCTAACCCGTGTTGCTTGCCTCTGCTTTCTACTGAGCTCCATGTAAAGAGCAGCTCTTCCCTCCCTGGAAGGGTCATCCGGTAGCATTATGATCTTCAGAGCATTAGTGGAAGCATGAGCTTTCTTTAATTGAACTGGAAAAGACCTGGGCTGGGCCATCAGAATACCTGGGTTCTGGAACTGGTGTTATTTGCCTCATAAGCACTGCCAAATTCTTTCACCTTTCCTGACCCTTAGTTTTCAAGTGTAAATACAGGATGTGCCTTTGAAAATGCTATCAGGATATGCTAAAGTGACTACTGCATTTTTGGTGTTTCTTACAAGATTTGTCTGAGAAAGTTCCAGTATGATAACCAGTTTGTGTGGTTTCTTGTAATGGCTGAACAGATCCTGGAAGCATAAGGCCTAATAATGGAAACTACTAAAATTAAAATGACCAGATTCTCATTACAACTTATTTTTTAAAATGAATACTAGGGGGGTAGCCTGGGTGGCTCAGTCAGTTAAGCATCTGCCTTCAGCTCAGGTCATGATCCCAGGGTCCTGGGATCAAGCCCCGGCATCGGCATTGGGCTCCCAGCTCTGCCGGGAGTCTCCTTCTCCCTCTCCCTCCCCCTGCTTGTGCGCTCTCTCTGTCAAATAAATAAATAAAATCTTAAAAATAAATAAATACTAGGACTATATATTGGGAATGCTTTTGACACCTCAGTTTTTAATTTATAGTTAGATCAGTCATTGAAGTTTAAGATCTCATTTACAACTTTTTCAGAGATACTTTTAAGCAGCAGTTTTAGTAGTAATAAAAATCAACTCTCTCTCTGTATATATACTTTTTTTTCCCCCTCCCAGCTCAATATAACTTAATGCTCATTGTAAACTCCTAAAGAGCAGGGGTGGAGTTCTACACAGAGGCAAAATAGTGTACTATGTGAGCCTTTACTTTGCTCCTTTGCTTACTGGATGTGACCTTGGGCAAGTTAGTAAACTTCCGTGTGCCACATTGTTTTCATATGTAAAGTGGGTGAAGTGAATATAATTAAGTAAATCCTCTCTGTCTCTGAGTTTTGATATAAATAGACATCCAATAAACTCCTACTTCGTAAATGGACAGTTTTCTTCTATTTTATCTGTAAATGTAATCTACTGTATTTACTTTTTTTCTTTATTTACTTTTCCTTTTTCCCTGCATGGCTCTTTCTTGCCCTTTGCATGTTGCATTTGGCTAACACTACCTTATTTGTTATTTTGTTTCTGAGGGATCATATGAGAATATTAATGACCGATTTCTAAGGGTTTTTCTGTAATAGAGGTGTACTTCAAATGATACAGTATGGTCTTCAGGGCAGCCAGGAACCAACTGCAGCCTCTTCTGTTTGCCAGCCTATGGCATTTCTGGGTTAGCTGAGGTAGTAAGTACTGTACTAAATGTTTTTATGGGAAAGAAGGAATAATATGTGCTCTGTTTGCTGATCATTAATGCTACATTAATGTCGAAATTTCAGTTAGTCAACTTTAAAAAATCTTAGAAGCATAGGTCAGAACATTTACTCTGAATACTTACTCTACTTAGAAAATATATTTGTTCTATTGGCATTCCACCTCTGTTTTGGGTAAGTTAATATACATGCTGCCAAGACTTAATTTTATTCATTTTAAAAGTTAGGATCAGGGGCGCCTGGGTGGCTCAGTTGGTTAAGCGACTGCCTTCGGCTCAGGTCATGATCCTGGAGTCCCTGGATCGAGTCCTGCATCGGGCTCCCTGCTCGGCGGGGAGTCTGCTTCTCCCTCTGACCCTCCCCCCTCTCATGTGCTCTCTCTCATTCTCTCTCTCTCTCAAATAAATAAATAAAATCTTTAAAAAAAAAAAAAGTTAGGATCAGGGGCACCTGCGTGGCTCCGTCGGTTAAGCGTCTGCCTTCAGTTCAGGTCATGATCCCAGGGTCCTGGGATGGAGTCCCACATAGGGCTCCTTGCTCAGCGGGGAGCCTGCTTCTCCCTCTGCCTGTCACTCCCCCTGCTTGTGCTCAGTCTCTCTCTGACAAATAAGTAAATAAAATCTTCAAAAAAAAAAAAAAAGGACCACTGGTATAAATAACCATAAATATAGATTTATGTCCACAAAAATCTCTGAGTTTAATTGAAGTATATAGCAGTGTGCACAGATCATGGGGGTACAGCTCAGTGCATCTTCACAGACTGAAATCCCTGTGTAACTAGCACCCAGATCAAGAAACGAAACATTACCAATTCCCCCCCCAAAGCTTTCCACGTCCCCCCCTTAGAGCAAATAACCCCCATAAAAGTAAGTGTTGTCTCTATTTGTATTTTTAATTCACTTTATTTTTATTTATTTTTTTTTTTAAAGATTTTACTTATTTATTTGTCAGAGAGAGCGAGAGAGCACAAGCAGGGGAACAGTTGAGAGAGAGGGAGAAGCAGGTTCCCTGCCGAGCAGGGAGCCCAATGCGGGGCTCGATCCCAGGACCCTGGGATCATGACCTGAGCCGAAGGCAGACGCTTAACCACTGAGCCACCCAGGCGCCCCTAATTCACTTTATTTTTAAAACAAACATATTAATTATGTCTTATTTAGTTAGTAATAATTTGCAATCCCTTGATCCATGTCAGTTAACCATGGGCTGTAGCTGGAAGGGAAGAGAAAGGTTGGCATGGCATATAAAACTATGTAGGTTAGAAGGGAAGCATACCTTGATTAAACATTTGTCAGGGTTTAAATGATCTAGATATAGGTAATTAAGAGTTAATTTGAACTCAATACTATATTGAAAAATAGTTACTTTCCTTGTTTTTTTTTTTAGCTGCTTTTTGTGTTTTTGATGAAAAATCACTAGAATATAAAAAGTAGAGTATTTAGAGGATCGAGGATCCTGAAGTTGAAAGTGAAAATGAAACAGGACTTTGACAAAGTACTTTCATGTGAGTGTGTGCATGGTAATGTTGTAGTCACTATGTATGAATGAGAGTACTGCTTAGATATATGAACAGATTTCTTTCCTTCTGTATTTCTGAAGACTTTCTATGAAAAGGGAAATTGAATGGAACTAGAGGGTATTATGCTAAGCAAAATAAGTCAGTCACAGAGAGACAAATACCATATGATTTCACTCATATGCGGAATTTAAGAAACAAAACGTGAACATAGGGGAAGGGAAGGAAAGATAAGATGAAAATTGAGAGGGAGGCAAACCACGAAAGACGCTGAACTCTCAAACAGGATTGCTGGAGGAGAGGTGGTGGGTGGGGGAAGGGGTAATTGAGTGATGGGCATTAAGGAGGGTACTTGATGTAATGGGTACTAGGTGTTATATGCAACTGATGAATCACTAAATTCTACCTCCAAAACAAATAAAAAAAAAAGAAAAGCGAAGTTGAAATCATAAAGAATTGGCTGATGGAAATTAAGGCAGACAGCAAATGGGAATGTGAGAGTGAACTCTGGGAGACTGAATGATGTGTGTAAATAAGGCTGTGCCAGGATGCAAGGGAGAGACCTAAGGCTGGGAGTTAGGAGTCTGTGATTTTTGGCCTGATCTGCCCAATTGTGTGATTTTTAAGCCAGTCAGTAAACTTAGGTCCTCTTCTGCTTTTGTAAAATAGGTATGTTAACTGTTTCCCTTGGCTTGGGGCATTGTGGTAAGGATTAAAATGAGATGACAGAATTTTGCCAAATTAAAAGCACTAGACAGTTTTATGGAAATAGAAAGTTAGGTTGGATTAGTCAGCATTGAAAAAGGAATGTTGATGAGAACAATCTTTAATATCATTTAGCTCCCTTTGCTCTAAATCTGAAATCATTAGGTATTTTTGTGATTGAAAATATTTGGTTTCTCAAGTAGATCTACTCCTTACCAGAGAGATATCTTGAGCTAACAAAAGTTTGTCATTTGAAATTGATGGCAGATTAATACCTTTCTGGTTTACAAATTACAAATACAAAAATAATTCTAAGTACTTGATTGGTGTGAATAGATTTACTCTGGGTGACCTGGTAAAATCCTATTTCAGACCTAATCCGGAAGCCTGCAAGTGACAGCAGCCTGTGAGGTCCTTAGAAAGTTTGGTCTGGAGAAGAACACATGAAAGAAAGGTTTGTTTTTGCTGAATGTAATTTATGAAAAGTGTTTAAAAATGGAAGTATAAATGTAATGCACAAAGGATTATTTTCTTTTTCCCTTTTCAGAACCCCAAGAGGCTTTGTTTTCTGTGAAAAAGTGTTTCTATACGGTTGCTCCAATGGCAGAGTTACCTGCATCCTTGTCCTACTTCCAGAATGCACAGATGTCCGAAGACAACCACCTGAGCAATACTGTACGTAGCCAGGTACAGTGTCAGCCTCTCAAACTTCCCCTGCCAGACTATGGATTCAGTGACCACCTTCCCTCATCTCCAAGAGAGGCCAAGGGGGCTGAGCAGGCTTTCTGTACTTTTCCGAGTTTACCTATTTGCTGAACTTCAACTGATGGCAAAGCATTGTACGATTGGTGCTGGGGACACAAGGCTATGTGAGACATGGGTGTTGATACAGTTCCTCCCTGCCTCAGATAATGCCTTCTCCACTAAAGCCTTCTCCAACTTCCCCAGCTATTTATTATTTTACCTATCTTGTTCTTACTCTTCCAGGGGCTGAGTACTTTTTATTTACTTTTATTTTTTCAGTGCCTATCATGGTTCCTGACAGTGCCTAGTAAATGCTCACTGACAGACTACACAGTGATGAGTGCAAGGCTAAGTGTAGAAATCCTAAGAGAGTTCAAGGGAGAGAATCAAGAAAGGGGTGTAATCAGTGGCATGAGACACAGACATCAAATCAGCCTGCGACTCCGATAGCTAATCATTACAGATTGAATATAGACCCCACAGATGGCCTGTGAGATGGCTGGGAAATGGGTAGGATTTTTAGAGGTGGAGCCAGAATTGGGGAAAACAACAAAGCCGTCTATAAGCTATGCAGGCTGCGAGGGGTCGGGCGGGTTGCGTGGCTGGGGTCAGACTTTCCTTTATTAGAACCAGAGGACAGAATCAGTGGTGGAAGGAAACAGGTCTGGGTCAATAAAAAAAGAATTGTCTCACAATTTACTGTACATCCGAAAGGGTGTGGTGGAGTGTTAACTGGTCACTAAAAGCAGTCACAAAGGCTGGGAGACTACCAAGCAAATCTGCAAAGGGCAGTGGGCTAGAGCACCAACCAGATGGCCTGGAAGTTCCCTTCACACTAATATTTAGAATTCCAGTTAAGGGTCAAAATGTGAGGAGGAGGCTTCACAAAGTAGACTTTGATGGATGGGTAAGATTAGAATAGAGCAAACTGGGATGGCATCACTGATAGAATAAATAACACTAGTGGAGGGAGGATTTTCCTAAAATTTAAATAGACAGGGAGGCTGTATCCAGAGATCATCAGAGGCAGATCACACTGTACTGCCAAAACATTTCTAATCAAGTGAAATCAAGATAAAATGATTATTGGGGGAAGCCCTGAAAGGGAACACAAGCTGTAAAGGGTAGTTAGCCTGAGGGGTGTGTGGGGGAAGGGAGAGGAGAGGAGCTGTTGCCTTGTTGGTACTTGGTGGATAATGGGTGTTACAAAGACTGATTTTTGTGGCAACATGTTTGCAACAGCTGCTTGATTTGCTCCTTTTTGTTATTTCTTAGGAATAGCTTTTTGAAAAGTTAGGATGAGGCCAGATTATGAAGTTCTTTGGTAGTTTGGATACTACAGACTTTGTAATCATTTTTAAACTGTTACTTCAGAGAAGGGAAAGGGAAAGTGGGGACAGCCCTGACTTAGTCTCTGGGTACCTTTTCCTTAATTAGAGCAGCTCCTATTTTATCTTTTTACATATTGATCTTCTGTGGATCCGTTTGAACAAAAGATTCCACAACTAACAAATTTTGAAGAAAACACCTGTCCATCCCAAACCTCCCAAAGGTGTCTCATCTCAGAGTAAAATCTGGTCTGAGGTCTTATTTTAACCTTCCCCTCCAGTGCCCCGATCTTTGTCTTATCTCTTAACACCCTCTCCCTCCTTCACTGCTTCCTCAGTTCTGTCTCTGGGTCCTGGATTATTCTCCCAATCTTCTCAGATGTCTCCCTTCACTTGATTTATTTAGGTCACCTCCTGAGTCACCTTACCAGTGAGGCCTTGCCTTCCTCAACTGCCCTTCCCTGCCACCCCTTATTCCCTGTCTCTGCTTTCCTTGTGCATAGTACTTACCTAGTATTTCTAGCATGCTGTCTACTGATTTGTGTTGACCTGCCTCCCTCTACCGTGTAAACCTGAATCCCCAGCTCCAAGAGCACTGCTTGGTACATAGTGCGCTCTCCATTGTTAATGCAGTATTACTTACATCCCTCAAGCTCAGGTTTTATGGGGCTTTCATGGTATTTTTTTGGTCTCCCTTTTTTTTTTTTTACACCTTAGTGACTGACAAATTGAAATAAAGGGTGCTATAGAGGAGGTACAATTGACACAGGATTTTTATTGATAATTACATGTACTCATGTAATTTTAGTAAGTCTTCGTGCTGATGTTCTCGGTGGTACCTTCCAGATCTCTTGGGGCACCACTGCTCAGAATATCATGCCTGATTTATTTAATTTTAACCCTACCATTGATAATGTGATATCAAATAAGTTATTTTTTATTTATCTTCTCAAAGATATTTTCTATAGGGGCACCTGGGTGGCTCCCATCAGTTAAGCATCTGCCTTCAACTCAGGTCTTGATCCCAGGGTCTTGGGATCGAGCCCACATCGGGCTCCCTACTCAGTGGGGAGTCTGCTTCTCCCTCTCCCTCTGCCCCTCCCCACCCCCACTCGAGTTCTCTCTCAAATACTCTGCTCTCTCTCTCTCAAATTTTAAAAAAAGTCTTCTACAACTTAAAAGATCTTCTGTATACATTCTCATACTTTCCAGTTACCATGGGATAGGTATTATTTCTGTTTTATTTTATTTTAAGATTTATTTATTTATGGGGCACCTGGGTGGCTCAGTTGATGAAGTATCTACCTTCGGCTCAGGTCATGGTCCCAAGGGTCCTGGGGATTGAGCCCCACATCAGGCTCCCTGCTCAGTGGAGAGTCTGCTTCTCTCTCCCTCTGCCTCTTCTTCGGCTTGTGCGTGCTTTCACGCTCACTCTCTCTTTCGCTTACTCTTTCTCAAATAAATAAAATCTTAAAAAAAAAAATTCATTTATTTGAGGGGCTGGTGGAGAGAGAGCAGGGGGCAGGGCAGAGAAAGAATCCTCAAGCAGGCTAGCTGCTGAGCCTGAGCACAGAGCCGGAGGTAGGGCTCAATCCCAGGACCCTGAGATCATGACCTGAGCTGAAATCAAGAGTCAGACGCTTAACCGCCTGAGCCACCCAGGTGCCCCTTTCCCCTTTTACAGTTTAAATGCTTGTCCAGGATCACATAGAAAATTAAATTACAGACCTGGAACATAAAACTATACTTTCTTTCTTTCTTATTTTTTTTAAAGATTTTATTTATTTATTTGACAGAGAGACACAGAGAGGGAACACAAACAGGGGGAGTGGGAGAGGGAGAAGCAGGCTTCCCGCTGAGCAGGGAGCCGGATGCGGAACTTGATCCCAGGACCCTGAGATCATGACCTGAGCTGAAGGCAGATGCTTAACGACTGAGCCACCCAGGTGCCCCTAAAACTATACTTTCTAATTTCAGACTTCCTCCAGTGTTCTTTCTGTTCTTCCAACTGTCTCTTACCCCAGAAAAATGTTAGAATACTGAAAGGAGATACTGTATGAAAAAAATTCTGGAGAAAGAAAATACTAAGTGTATATGCATATTGTACCAGTGTACTTAAAAAAAAAAAAAAACCCCAAAGAGAAAGGAAAAGAATCTCATTGTTAAGTTTTATTTTTTATTTTTTTAAAGATTTTATTTATTTATTTGACAGAGACAGCGAGAGAGGGAACACAAGCAGGGGGAGCGGGAGAGGGAGAAGCAGGCTTCCCGCCGAGCAGGGAGCCTGATGCGGGGCTCGATCCCAGGACCCTGGGATCATGACCTCAGCCGAAGGCAGTCGCCTAACCAACTGAGCCACCCAGGCGCCCCTCATTGTTAAGTTTTATAGCTATGAAGAAGCCATTGTATATATGCTTTGGTTGGTTATGAAAAAATGGGGGTAAATCCAAATTTAAATTGAATGTAGATGACTGTTTTTGTGGATTAACTGAAAGCAGCTCTTTTTATTTCTCCTCTTGGATCCTGGATTTGTTAAATACAAGCACATGAAGACAAGCCTCTGCAGGCATAAAAATCCTTATCAGGCTTATTTCTTCTTTATTTGCACAGTGGCTAGTTAAGAGGTATCAAGGAAATTGAGCGATGTGGAAAGTTTTAATCTTTCCACACTGCTCAGGAAAGGAAACTAGCATATTGAATGTCTTCATTGTGTTGGACTCTGCAGGGTACTGTCACAAACATTAGTTTTAGGGCCTTACATTTTGGGGACATAGGTGAGCAGATTTTCCTTCAGTCTTCCCCTCCTTTGAATTAAAGTGCTAATAAGGTGCTTCTCTATATGAATATATCCTCTAGAGTATACAGATAGTCTATTTTACATTAAATATTACAAAAAGAAATGAGCATTCACTTAAAAATATTTTTGAAACTGGAAAGAGTAACTTTCCTACAGAATTTATTCAAATATCAGTGTAAAGAAATGGACTTTCTATTCCTTTCCTCTCCTCAGTATCTTCCTCCAAGGTCAGGAGCATCCCTAGTCTTGAACTCCTTTTATGAGGCAATCATTTGAGTTTGGGAAAGACCTATGAGGATAACCAGATATTGAAGACTGTTCAAAAACACTGATGAATTGGCATTTAGGGGTTATGGCTGAGTGATGTATAAATAGATCCTTCAAGGGAAAGAACTAACTTTGATTCAGTTGTAATTTGTAACAGCTATGTGTAATTTGGTCTGATTTCTTAGTACTTCATTTTTCCCATTTGTAAAATTAAGATGGTTTACTACATAAATTCTCTCAGCAGTTTTGTTGTGACCATGAATTAGGGTTGCCAACTGTCCTGGTATGCCTGAGACTGAGAGGTCCCTGGAACACAAGACTTTCAGTTTTAAAACTGGGACAGTCCTGAGAAAATAGGATCAAGTTGATTACCCTATCAGAAGTATAATGAAATTGAAATCATTTTGGATCTGATTAACCCAGTCTCACTCAATTAGATGACTTTGTTGTGTAACTTCAAGTATTATTGCAGTGATATATTGTTAGTGTTCAAGTAGATAAAACATTTTTCTCTTTCCAGAAGTGAAATGTTGTCCATGACTTCATTCTTC